AAGCTTCACAGATTCACAGTATGGATCTCGTGGGATTTCTCTATATAATGCAAGCACTTCCAGAAATCGAAAGTGATGGCAACCGAGTCCTATTTACAAACGACACTAGAGAGTTGTGCTCCGGCTTTTGATATTGTGCCTACCGAGATGGGATGACGAGCTCAGTGCGTTTGAACAGCAGATGGCTTCTTTCTGCAAGCAAACCTCTTCTTCACTTGGCCGAGAGGCCGAGATCCGATGCGCAGATGTGTCGTTGTGCAATTCCTCAATGGAGTTTTACTTAACGACACTTCAGCCTTTGAGAATCTTATTGCAAGTGCTGCAATGTTATATGATGTTTGAAGGATCAAGCAAAATTGTTCAAGAGCTTATGCAGTCTCCAGATCGTGGCACCCTAGTTTCTATCCTTTTCTGCTCATATTCGACACGCTCAGCCCTCGGGTTTAGTTTGCGTCGTTTGTTTCCTTCTTCTTTCTCCTCTTCTTCTTCATCTACTTCATCATCGCTCCTGTCGCTGCAACTCACCTCTTCATCTCCATTGCCCAAAAAGTAGCAAATTTTATCATTGATCACCTTCTTTAACCCGTATCTAGCAACATCGTCCCATGTCTTGGCACTCTCAATCAAGCTGCTATCGTCTTTTTCATCGTTAAAATTACCACTTCTCGCATACTTTACTACAACTTTCACCATTTCCTCATTGCCCAGCCAAATTGCAACTTCAGCCAGTTTCTTGTTGTGACTACTATATTTCAGTGCTCGTGGCAAAAGTTCCGAGAAGAGCTGCGTCACCTTTTCATCCTCGTTCAAGCCAAACAGCCCGGCTGCTTTTTTCATTTTAACCAAGAGCCCCCAATCCCAATCTTCCAGTTTCCTCACCGCTTCATGGAACTTAGCCAAGAGCAGCACAAGCGCATCGGCACTGTTAATCTCACTGCCATAGATTTCTTCAGGTCAACATCGTTGATGAATCTCTTCCTTCCCAAAGCCATTGCAGTGACATCCTTGAGATTCGACTTCACAACACCCTTCCCAGAAAACTTCTCCTTCCTTCGTGCTGGAGCTTAGCCAGCTTTTCCTTCCTTTCGCTGGGCGAAGTTGACTTAATAATATTTTCCATAGGGCCCATATCTTTTGTCGGGGTCGGGCTTCTCTGCTTGTCTCTCCCACAAGGCTTCTTCAATTGTCAATGTCTTCTCCCAAAACTCTTCCATGTGAGGAAAGCTGCTCTCTCCCCACTTTTTAGCTACTTGGACCAAGCTGCTAGCGGGAAAGGAACCAAGTGTACGGAGACCATAGCCTGTGCTGCTGTTGCCATGCGTCATCCCCCACTTCTTCATGACCAAGCAGTGACAGTCGTGCTTGACGCAAAAATCTAGCAGAATTTCAAAATGCGTCTTGTACCCCACTTTACTTGTCAAGTATCGCTCCAAATCCCCATTCGTCCGGCCAGGCTCGCATTTGTGCTGCTCCTCGAGCCACTTCACTACACTTTCACTGCTCTGTGTGTAGCATAGCGCCTCCATTCTGCAATCCTTGGGCCACACCACCAGAGCAGCGGTGTGGTAGAAAGAGCTGACACCGCCGCCATTGTTGCCAGTGTATGGCACAGTGTCCTCCTCGTCTGATGAGTCGTCAAAAGAGCCATCCTCGTTGCTGTTGTCCCTCACAATCTGACCTTTATAGACAGTCGATCCACATAGTACTCGGTCTCGACTTCGATGCCGAAATTGTTCTCGTAGGTTTGCTTCACAAGCATGCAGACATGGACGTGCATACTTTTGGCGGGGAACGGTCGACCACAGTGACCTGGTTGTCCATTCAGTTATAAACCTACAGTTAGTTCAAATTTATGGAGCATTTCCTTTTTTATGGATTTTTGGGCTCAAACCATCAAACAATTTAGTCTTAAATCTCAGACATTTTGTGGAGAGGCATATTTTGCCATAAAATGGATTAATACAAAGCTAGTGCTAGAGGGATTCAGTTCCAATTCCAAGGCCTTTTCGTGCTTGGACCTCACAAATTTTAAAATCTTTTAAGCAATTATTAATTCATATTTTACCAGTATTTACTGTGTCAAACATTAAGATGCCAACTATAAGACACACTGAAATTTATGGATCGATGTAGATTTGTTAGCATCATCTGCGCGATCATCTTCGCCTGCTTCAGGCACGATTGGAGAGACAGGGCTGGCAGTACGCAATCTATACGATCGCTCCAAAAATCTCTAGCTCGGCGCGGGCAGGCGTTCGTCACAATCCTCGTCCGAACTTTAAAGACAAGTCATAGAAACTGCTTGAAAAACTCGGAGTACTTTTCGAGGTAGTCCGGTCGAGTGGGAACTATATGCCCCGAGTCATGACGAACTACCGTTCGAGAGCCAGGCCTGAACTTCCCGGCCAATCTCTCGCTTTCCGTGCAAGAGATTTGCCGGTCATAGCCAGTTTTCCCACTGAAAATGTGCAGCGAAGGGCAGTCGATCAATCCTCCCAACACCTGTTGCTCTAGCACCGGCGAAACGAACCCCGAGCACAGGACGACGAACTTGATGTCGATCAGTCCAGCATCCTTGAGTGAAGAAAGTATGGCAGCCACGGCCGCTCCCTGCGAGAACCCGAGAACGCCATCGAATGGCCCGCGATCAGCAAATACTTGTTCGAGGTACTCCCAGCTCTCGCTCCAACCCGACGTTTGCTTTTGGTACTGCATGGGATCGAAAGACTTCTGTACTGGAGTCCACGTTTGTGTGCTAGCCTTCGGACCATCCGGATCGGTTAACCACGCAAATTTCTTGTGCGGCTGGGCTGTAGGTTCTTGCCTCGTTTCGTCCTCGAGAAGTTGATAGAGCAGCGGAAGCTCGTGAGGAGCATCTATGAAGACGAACTCGGCTGTACGTCTGAGTTTCTTCGACAGCGATGCGAGCCTGCCCTTCAAGTTTGATGCGTTTTGACGAAAGCCGTGCAGGCACAATATCCTTAACTTCGAGCCTGTTCACGGTGGGTCATATGTCTGCTATCAAAATTTGATAAGCACTCACATTTATCACGTCCTGATTCTACTGGTTCACTAGAATGCTGATTAGCAGCGCACAGCTCGCAGAGATAAGGCACTGACGCCTGAAAGCACAATGCAAGGTAAAGAGAAGACAAAGATCATATACGAATTACCTTGCAACTTTCGCATAGAAGTACCAGCATACGACACATGGAGCAACGGAGCCGTGGAGTATAGTCATCGTAGGGAGATTTGCAACTATAGCAGCAGCCAACAGTTTTATCTTGTAGCGATGGAACTGATATCCTGCCAGCCAAAGCTTAAGCTTCCGAGTAAGAGTGATGCATGCACTACCTATGATCGAAAACAAAGTTCTTCCCATGGAAGTATCCTCCTTCAGGAAATGCCTCCAGATACCGCTGAATGCCACCAGAAAGCTGCGTAGCACGAGGCTAGAATCCACCGTACAAACAGGAGAAAACCAAACAACCTGGTAGACGTTCTCGAATTCCTCTCCTTTGCTACGAATGTAAGCAGAAGCCATCTCGCACCGGACACCTCCAGTGCAATACCTGCAACAAACGCAAAAGCATATAACACAATGAATGAAAGAAACGACTTAGAAAGAAATACATCAGTACTGATTTGTTGCGCAATTGTTCCGCGTGCTCGTCTATCCAAGCAGGCAAGTCACTGTACTGGCGTATCTTGGGGTCGAGGAAAGCAATTCCCGGAGGCGGGCAAAACTTGCCTATTCGGGTCTCGTAAATGTTCCTTGCATCGAGAACTACAGCGTTGCTTTGTTTCAAGCTTCCTGCACGAATGAAAATCTTGTAAGTTGGAAAGAAAGCCAAGGCAGCCACCAAAACCTGCTTGGTCGAGCATTCCATGGAACTGCTCTGGCGATAGATGCTTCCCAGCATTTGCAAGCGATGGAGAAGGAAATACACCAAGCGTCACGATTTCCTACAAAGCCGAAAAAACGAAAAAAGCTTTGCTCGAGCAAGAACTTGCGAGAAAAGAATTACCTCAACCAGACGAACGGACAAGGAATCAAAGCCACAGCTCGCAGCGGCATCGCGATCCATAGGCCGGGAGCACGCAGCGAGCTTGAAATCGCATCCCTGGAACAGCTCCTGGCCCGCGACAGCATCGATGTGCTCCCTCAGCGATTCCATGCTGCCTCCGACCTAGCAAGAATCCGTGAGAACACAGAGAAATTCCGGAGAATGCCACTCACATACCGTGACATTGACGCCCCCGGGCGCAATCCGTATCCTCCCCAGCAGCGCCAGCGAAGAACACGATCGCTCGAACCAGTTCCTGGTCGCCTCGGGATCCGGCAGCGTGACGAACTTGTAGTAGAGAAGAACTCCCTGCTCTGGGAGCGCCATAGCTCCACAAAAGCCCTAGTTTTCATGGCTACTTGTTAGTGGAAAATTCAAAGAGTATAGAAGAGTGGCATTTGCTCATAGATAAACGCACAGGCATTCTCGTAGCTCTATCACCCACTGGGGTTCTCTCTTCACTGGGACAGTCCCAGTGAAGGACCCAGGATGAGGGATTTTGATCGAGCGAGTAGTGGATGTTTTTACATCGAGTCGTAGTTTCTTGCGGCATTTGCCTCAGCTGGCATTTCTCTGTTTTTGTCGATGCTAGAAAGTTTCTTCCTCGGAAAGCCAAAAACATCTCGTAAGAAATCTCATCATCTGGGCTCAAATTCAATGTGGAAGTAAGCTAGCGAACGTTATATGAACTTATAGGAGCGCAAATAAGAATGCTGGCGACATCCAACATTTGCCTTTAATGGGCATAAGTTCAGACTTTTCTTTTTTCTGCTGTGCCCGGATGACATCGCCCATTTTACTCTCAATCACATTCGCTCCCACGCCCTCATCCAGGATTCAGGATCAAGCCATAAGCAAAGAAAAGTATTCCCGGCAGCGATCGCGCCATGTTTCCAGCAATGGGTTGTCCCTGCTAAAACCCTAACCCTTGGCTGTATTTTAAAGGCCTGGAGGCACTCTCATGACGTGCTGATCCATGCACTTTTTAAATTATTCCTTTGGACATTGCATATGCTATAATATATGCAGTGAGCCTCTCATAACTCCATCTAAATATTTTCGCCACTTTAAACCACAACTCCTTGTGTTCCCGATCATAATATGTACCACCAACTGCAATCGCCTTGACCATAGCATCGCCTATTTCACCAGCGCTGGCTCCCAGGGCCCCCTGTACTTTGGGAGAGTTTATCAACTTCTCAAGAGTTAGACATCTCTTCTTAGTCGCATCTGATGCAATAAAAATGCCTCTTGTGCTCCAGATTGTATCAAGGTTTGGGTGACTATTTAGAGCCACCGTGCCTACACAAACAGCTTTAGTAAATACTTCCACCAAGCAAAGACAGATAATTCATGTCACTCACATTCTTGTGACGCTTTGCGATCAATGTCCAGAGCCAAGTGATCCTCAAATATCAGCTGCGCAAAACAACACACAAGAAAAAAGGAAACAAATCAGAAACACATGTCAACGAAAAGAGTGTGCGTACGTGAACAATGTAGACGACCATGGCACCGAACGGCACAATACTCATTTGTTTATGGCCGTCGTCAAAGTAATGCTCCGGAACTCTGTGCTGGAAGTTGAAGACTACAATCAGCCCTCTCCATGCCAGCTCCCTTATTTCTCCCAGCTCGGATTGCGAGCAAGGGACCCCATCCGGCTCCCACTGCGCGTTCCTGCACAGCTGCACGAAATGGCCGCTAAAATCCTTGCCGAAAACGGCAGCGGCGGCACGGTAGAGCTGGCGCTCGTCGCTGCTTCCCGCTGTCACCGACTGTGCGTGCTCCACGATCGACTTGCCCGTCGAGCACAGCGTCTGGAGCTCGGCATGGTCCCGCTGCCCCTTCCTCGTCAGTGTCCAAGTGTAGATCAAACGGCCAATTTGCAAGCTTGCATCCTTAAAGTCCATAAAGTATGAGACCTCGCGAGGCCTGTACTGGTAAACGAGCGAGCTCCTTCGAACCCAGCACTCCAGAGGTACAACAAGGCTTTGGTCCCACTCGAATGTGTGAGTCACTGCTGCCACCACCTCCTGCCAAACAAACAAACAAAAAAAGAAAAGAGAAAAAAGAAAAAAGAAACAAATAAGAAGCCTGTCTCTGTTTCGCAAATCGAGCTAAGGATTTTACCTCCAACACCTGGCGGACGCCGGGGGTGAGGTCGATCGATTGCCACTCTATCATCGGGAGTTCCTTGAACCAAACGTTATAGACGTTGTCGATGTTCTCCCTGGTTGGCAGAAAGAATTTCTGAAACCTGTATGCGTGCACGGTGTCTAGGAAGCAGAGCAAGAGTTTGCCCAGGTGCCCCCCGCCGCCAGCTTTGGCTTGAGCTACGAAAGCGTCGAGCCATTCGCGCGGCTGCTTGTTTGCTTGGACCTGGAGGTGCAGCCACGCGAAGAAGAGCACGCAGAGCTGCTCGCTCACATCAAACAGGAGAAGGGCATCCACAAGACATGTTCGCGCCGAGAAAGTAGAGGGAACTCTAGACATGAGCGACACAAGATCTGCACAGACGGCTGGTTAGAAATGAAAAAAGGAAAAGATGCAAGCCATACATGTAATTCCTTCCGCCGAATACATCGCTTCAGTGGCTGGCGTCGGAATATCTCTCTCCATGAGCTGCAACCAAGAAATAAGGCTCTTTTACCGCTTTGCCACAAGAAATCTCGATAAACTCACCACTTCAAGCTTGTGTGTAACGTAGTAGCAAGGGAGCACGAAAGACAGTACTGTCGGGCCACCGTAACGTTGCTGGTTGGGGAGATCTCGCTGGCGCGTGAAATAGTCGGCAGCGATGAAGAGGTGCAAGAAAACCTCCGGGACGGGAACCCGGAGGACGTGGGCGATTGCCACAGTCCAGATCTTCCACTTGAGCTCCGACACACTCGACTCATCCATATCGTAGAACCACGACGCCTCTGCTAAATACTCCAGCTCCAGCCCAAAGCGCTGGAATGCCCCTGCAACCACTCTCAGCAATCTGGTACCTATGCTGCTTTGGAACCAATCGGCCACGAGCACACCCACGCGCGGATCCCATCCCACCACTGGAGTCATGTCCTCTGCCTGAGTCCATCCCCAATCCATGAGCCCTAGAGAGCTTCAAAGGTCTACTTATAGTATTTCTCTTCGAATATTAAAGGAATATTACACCCGAGGAACTCTAAAGGTCTCGGACATATTCTTTGATTCCCCTTCCGGGGGATTTGTCGTTGCTGTGAGAAATTCTTCTTATCAATGTTTTTGTGCCTGTGGATCTCAACAAGACGCCGGACATGTAACATGACGAGTGTGGTACATTCTCTTGGGAATCTACTCGCTCTTGTTTTATGAGATTCGCCTCGGAATTATCTGCTCTTCTCATGCCATGCCGCAGTCCAGCTCTATCACTTGGCGAGGATCCACAATCACCACCAGTTAAGTTTCTCGCTGGTTCCAACCAGCCACAAGACAATAACCAACGTAAATCATTATCTATTTTGAAGGCTGATTCGTTGGCAATCTTTAACTCTTTGCCCTCCTCGTTTAATTTACAGAAGTTAGTACAACCAAACTCTTCAGCCAAAATTTTCATGATCACTGATCTACGAATGAAGAGAACTTATGCTCATCTCTCTGATTGGGCTCTCTCCTTTGGTTCCTTCTCTAGTGAGGCGGCTTTCGGTTTTGTCCTTGAAAGGTACCGAAGTCCTCCTGTGACTATCCATTTCCAAGCACAATAATTCCCAGAGGTAGGTAGTGGATTTTCGTGCATGCTGCGCATGTGTTGGGCATGGTGACATGCTCAAGGCCCAGATTTCTCGATGGCATGACCATTTGGGGCAGGGAATTAAATCTTTTCTCGTTTGCTAACCAGGAGGCAATAACTGGGGTCAGTGGAGAGTTATATGTATGCGGCACACATATGGATATGGGCTGCTCCCTAGTTTCGTATATGTATGGAGCGGCCCTGAAAGCCATGGTGCATATGTTTTAATGGGCGCCTGAGTGGCCTCATGTCAAAGTCGGTCATTGTGGGCACAGAATGAACCTTGTGCTTGTGTTGGGATCATTGTGCACACAAACATTCATGGAACTACCGAATTGCCCCAGGCCATCTCTCACATCATCTTGTGATGCCTTCAAGGGGCAACTGCTACAAGGGGAAAGATGCCCTCTCGGGGCAATACTCCAGGGATTAATTAATTAGTTCATTCAAGGAAACCATGCATCAGGTAGCTAAGGTCCAGTCCAAGTCCGGCCAGGGCGGGCAAAGGCTGCGTGCGTGTGTTTTCACCATGCATAGGCTTCACTCAGCCGCTGAGGGCTTTGGCTTGCCTTAATTAGTTTTTTTTATACTTTCAGATTTGCAGTATATTTGTAGTATATTCCAACTTGCGTCAATAAAAAAATAATTTGTCAAACAATGGCAATGAAAAATCTTGCACAAACCATATTTTTTATGTCAAACATGTAAAAAACTGAATATAGATCATGAATCATGAACAATAGCATGGATCACTGACATGGCATAACTTTATCAAGACAAAGATATGATGTGACAAAGTTTAATTAATTAATTGGAAAGTATAGGACCAAATCTTAATTTCAAGGTAAATAAAAACATTTTGACACACAATCTGAATATGATGAGTGATAGCATTTGGCCACACGCTATTCCTATTCCTATCGAAGGTGAGAATTATAATATAAAATATAAGTGGTTGTTTTAAGAAATGTCATTTCAAGGTGAACAAGCACAATTTATTAATGATTGTACTTGGATATTTTGGGATATTCTGATCTTGTATTTAGAGTTTATAAATGTTTTATAATTTATAAATTTCCTAGTATATTCTAGTTTATTTTAATGATTGAAGAGTAATTGTTTTTATAAATTATAAACATATTAATAATTATAAAATTTTAATTCATAAATTGTATTGATAAAGAATATTAAGCAAACCACAGCAAATTATTTATTATTAATAATATTGATAAATCCAAAATATAAGAGGGTTACAATTGCCTCAATGTGCTACAATATCAAGGGAGTGCACAAAATAAGCATGAGAAAGAAAGAACAGAACAATAGAGATTTTATACCTTAAAATTGGATCGCAAATCCTCTACAATCAATGGTGCTTGATTCTTGGTTGGGCATAAGCAAGAGATATTGGATAAGCTAACAATCTTAACTCTTCGTGTAGTGGCCATTGCTATGGCATGAATCCCTGGCTCTGCCCACAACCAGCTGTAGCTGTGCCTGCAGAAGTGGCCATGACACTAGCTATGGCTGACTGACTTTGATCTTTTCTTTTTCTTTTTCTTTGTCTTTTTCACTGATTAGCTTTTTCTCACCAGTTCTTCCAATGAGCTGATTGAGATTGGTCTTTCTTTCGTTCTTTTGTTTCTAGCAGGCCTTTCTACTACAAGGCTCTTACATTTAGATTCAAAGTTATCTGTTTCTCTTAAAATGAAATGCAGCATTTGCCAGGTGGCAATTCATGGACTCGACGTCCAAGCCTGGGAGGATGGGAAATGGGTGCCATTGGAGGTGCGTCTTAAGGAGGAGATGGAGAGGGAGTGCGTCGCCCAAAAGGCGAAGGAGGCAATGCCCTCCTTGGAGGTGAGGGAGGCCAAACACCAAAAACTTAAGGAGCTGTTTCTCAAGATGGTGGTAAAGGCCGAGCGTTTCGAAAACCAAGCAATTGGGCGAGGTCGATAAGGGTGGCAAACAAGCCATAGAGGAGGGCCACAACCAGGAGGGCGTACAACTCCTCCCCAGGCTTGATGTTCGTCCACTGCTTTAAGGATTATTCTTAGGAAGGCCGGGTATGACTTGCCGGGTTTGTGTCAAGGAGCGATGAATTGTGAATGTAAAACAAGTTTGCTTTGTTCTGGCTCAGTGTAAGCCTATTGGTATCTTTGATCGATTCGAGGATTCCTTATAATACTCATCCTTTTCAATCTCCCCTTCATTTAATATAAATTCTCCTTTCATGGTGAATATAGAAAACTTGGAATAAAACTAAAAATTCCAGCATGCCAAGAATAAAGGTTTTGCAAATTTTATATGGAGAAGTCATTTGAGGAACAGTTGAAGAGCTCAGATATGAACATCTTGTACCTGAATGTGCACAATCTAAGAAACTCTAGCATACAAACACGCCTGTGAAAAACGTTTTGGAGCGCCTACTCTCCCGAATGATGAGATCCATCTAAAGAAGTACGTTGCAAATCTGTATAAAATCGTAAGGAAGATAAGCTTTTATACAGACGCAACATACTTCTTGAAGTCAGCTGAAAGCCTGCAGCATCCGAGATAAGCTTGAAGTTGGCTGACTGGTATCTAAGCTCCAGCGCTTAGATACTTGAAAGCAGAGGGATCTCCAACGTACAACATATCTTCATATGGTCGAATCCCGTCTTGAGCAACAGAGAAAAAATCGTTTATCATACGCTTCCTCCCAAGAACCAAAATGACCAAAGCCAGGATAAGGATATTGGAAAAAATATCATCATCTATCTATCAATTAAGCCTTAGATTTACCCCAGGTGATGCTCTATCGGCATGTGCCTGTGTGTAGGCAAAGGGATCCCTGAGAGGGGCTGGGGGGGCACAGCGATCTAGAGGGATTCTTGCAAGAAATTTGATAGATCGGAGCTTGCATTACCTGTGCTGCCGATGGAAATAAGCCTGGGCTGGGATTATCACCTGGAGTTTAATATCAGAATCGATCGATCAAAGCCTTGGATTTACCTTGAGCGCTGCTCTACGATGGAACCGCGCCTGAGATCATTGCCTAGAATTTCAGAAAAATATCACGAATCTGTCCATCAAGCCTTGGATTGCGCTGCTCGGTTGGGGCACCACGGCTGTGAATGCTTTGCGCTAGCCCTGAAAATTTGAATGAAGCGGGAAGAATACTTAATGAGCTGGACAGCAACGTGGCGGTGACGTGGTCATCTACGAACGATATGGAGCGAGAAAAAGCCTTGCGTTACACAGTACCTCGGAGAAGCGCCTTGATAACTTTCCCTTGAGTAACACTATCTAGTCGTGATCAGAGAAGAGCTTTCTCAAGAAATAGTACCTCTGCTTGAGATTCCAGTCAATCTCGCAGCGAATGGCAGTCGATCAATCCTCCTCCTGTTGCTACTCCTCTAGCACAGGCGAAACGATCGCTATACCGGCGTATCTTGGGGTCTTACAGCATTTGCTTCAGCCTGGCATTCCTATGTTTTTGCCGACGGAAAGCCGAAACATCTAGAAATAAATCTCAGAATTTAAGTTGGGAATAAGCTAGCGAGACGTTATACGAATTTACAGAAGCGCAAATAAGAATGCTGGCCTGTATAGCTCGCCTTGCAGCATTTGCCTGTAATGGGCATAAGTTTGGAGGCTTTATGTTTGTTTTCCTTGTCAAGGCACATTTTCTTTCGATGGGCATTTGTGTTTCTTTGATGGCTGCACTGCTCTTCTATTTGTTGCTACATTTGGTGTCGCAGGTTCTAATGACTGTAACTGGTTTTCTCACTGACTTTGATTTTATTTCTTTTATTTTTTTCTTGACTTCTAGAAGAAATGTTTTCTTTTTATCAAGCCGCTGAGTGTTTTGCCACGAATGCATGATGCCTGACTGACTTTGGTCTTTCTTTCGTTCTTTTGTTCCGAGCAGGCCTTTCTTCGACAAGGCTCTTGACCGATGAAGCAGAGGAGCTGCAGTTGATTCCAGGACGTCATAATTTCAGTGTAAGAACTCTTTTCTTGCGGCTCGATCTTAGCTCTGAATTATGATGCAGCATTTTTATTCGCTCATCATCAAAAGCCGTGATCAGGACGTTTGGTGGTATTTGCAGAATGGTTTCGCGGACGAATTGTTACTTCCTGAGGCACCGAAGAAGAAAGAAGGAAGATAATCTAAATAGGTGTTTGCAATCATGTTAAAAACTAGAATCCTTCCTGCAAAGTGGAATTTGAGGGAGGACTTTGCTCTTCTCTGGCATGTAGACAGTCTCGCATTGGGCTGTACTATGTTCAAAGTCTCTGTCCAAAATATATCATATTGACAAGAGTCTATGTTCGCGAGAAGTGTGAGAAATCATCCTCTCCTTGGGCTGTACTATGTTCAAAGTCTCTGTCCAAACCATATCATATTGACAAGAGTCTATGTTCGCGAGAAGTGTGAGAAATCATCCTCTCCTCAAAGATTTCTTCCAGGTAGATATGCAATGTTCCTTTGCTGCCAGCGTCTGGAGCTTGCTCTTGCAAAGCTTGCATTTGTTTGCAGAAATCATCACTGTCGACATCCGATGGAATACGTTTTTGCCACTTCTCGATCATCATCTCAAGCTCCTGCCTCTTGTTTTCCAGCTCTTGGAGCTCCTTCTCGTTGTTCAAGGCTGCTGCTTGTAACTCCTCCACCTTGGCCTGACACTGAATAAATTCTTTGTTCCTCGTGAAAGCTGAGGCTGCTGCTGGAACCAATGAGCATTGCTCGCGTTCTTCGCAAGGCACACTTGCAAATCTTGGAACTTCGAATGTTCTAAAATAGAGGAAAAACTTTAAACTTGTGAGAAACGAAAACTTTGATCTTACCTCCGTGATCCAATAAGAACTTGGCCTTTGTCACACCTTCCCCCGTCGAGAGATACTGCTTGGCACGACATGCTCATCTCGTTCCACGCATTTAGCATGTTTTCCTCCGTGTTGTAGACTTGTAGCTTCCGGAAAACATGGTAGAACAAGCTCTGGCGCAGCTCCAAGTGCTCGCGTCTCAAGTAGAGAAAGTTGACTCCATAGCCCAAGAAACCAGCCGGGATTTCGCCATTGGATAGAACAGGCGGTGGAATGTTAAGGAGCTTCTGAGGATGTTGAGCATCTACCGCGGCATTCCCATCCTTACGCTTGTATTGCCTGGTGAAGAACAAGATCACAGCTAAGTTTTGCTCGATGCGTGATATCAACTTACTTGATCGCGTCGATACAAAATACTGGAAAGTTCTCTGGAATCCAGAGCTTGTTGCTGCGAACAAACGCTAAAAAGGCCGTGGAGTTGTCCACGTTTGCATCAGAGCTTCTCAACCATCGTATGCCTTTGTAAGTCTTGCACACGACTTGCAGGAGGGATCTGGCTCCAAGAAACGTGGATAAACTTCTGAAACGAGCACAAACACACACACAAAACGTAAGAAAAACAGAACACATGAAGGACAAAAAATAAGCTAGGAAGGATTACCTGTTGATTTCATCCTTCTCAACCCGAGCAAGAAGAACAATCGGCCCCAAAATGTCATCCAAAGGAAAGCCTATCGGTTTCATCTCTTGAGCCGTGTACAGCGCCAATGCCGGAGAATTCTCCTTGTGAACCAAAGTCTTGAGCTCGCTTAAGATGTCGCCCTCCGTCCTTTGAGTTTCATTTCTTTCACGGAGCAAAACCTCATCATCGCTAGCAGCTCGTCGACGCTCATAAACACTCAACAAGCTTGCCTGAGCCTGCTTCAGCAAATCTGAAGAAAATAGCGTTCACTTAAGGCGGACAAGCAAAAGAACTCTTCTACCTGTATTACGACCGAATGACTCTTGGGCCGCATACAGCTTATTTGGAAGATTTTTGAGAGCTTTATGGCATTCTTTCAGGCCACAGCCAATACTTTTGATCATCTGAGAAAGATAACGTAAGGGGCAAATACACAACTATAAAAAATGATGTCACGTACCGTTTCGGATTGTTCTACAATGTACTGGTACAAGTGCTTCTCCACTTGTTCGCGAGAATAGTTGCCTCGAAGAACAGCCAAACGAGAAGTAGCACTCTTGACGTCGTTAAACTCGGCTCCAATAGCACATACCTCGAACGTAAACAACTCTGGCATGATTTCGAGATCACTGAAAGTAGCCTGCCCATCTATTGCGGTCACGCAACAGATCGCAGGCTTGGAAGCGCGCTGCAGCGTGAGAGTGCCACGAAGTGGGATCTCTCGACAACCGAAGCACCTGTTGTCATGAATATCCACGACGTCCACCACCACCACGTCGGTATTTTCCTGCTCCATGTTAAACTTGAGCCTATACGGCCTTCCATGTACCACGTTAAGCTGCCACTTGATCGGGGTCACTTCGTCGCTGCCTTCGAGCACAAACTTGAGGACGTAAGGTCCTGCTCTCGCCGGTACCACCACGCCTTGGAAAACATAGACAGATGCTTCGTCGTCTCTCTCTCCAGACTTTGTCGAGCAGTTCTTCCCGAGCGGATCCCAGATCGAGACGGTGAGCTGCTGCAAGGCCTGTAGGGGGCGACCGTCTTCACATTCCACCAGAACCCGCATTTCCGGCACGACTTGCTGCTCGTCATCCCTGTCCGACAGTGTGAGCTCACGAGGAGTCTCGCCGAGGAGCCGTAGCAACGTTGGATTGTTTCCAGGAGTGACTTCCAACAGGACCGAGACTTGCTTCGAAGATGCTCTGATCACCAAGTTGTAGACGCCCAGCGGCATGTCAACCCAGAAGCTTTGAAATGCAGCAAAACCATCCGTCGCGTATGCCACTTTCTCAAGTCTTTCACAAGTGTCTGGAACCAAGATCTCTAGAGAAACTTCTTCGGCTTTGTAGCCGCTGTTACAAACGTTGTCCTTGTGATCCACCAGACAAACTTGTAGCTCCGGAAAAAAGCTACGCCTACAAACCGAGAACCGGCGGCCCGCATCAGCTGTCATGAGAGCTTTGAGCAGCTCGTTACGCTTTCCACAGAATGGGACCAATCTGTGAACGTCTCCACAGCCAAGATACACTCTCCAGCTCAAAGCTTGCATAGCGTTCTTCAACGTGACGACGTAGAAGCCTTCTTTTCCGTCGAGAACAACCCTGAGGCTGTACTTCATGTCTTCTGTACTTGAAATTCTTCTGCTGAGCAGCACATTCTCATCGGTGAGGTAGTCTTCCTCGGGAAACACCTCCACTTCCATCTGCAAAAGTGAAAAATAAGTATTTTTGCATGGATAAGTTCTTCTTGGGTGAGAAAACAAGGAGCCAACAAAACAACCTGTTCGACGATTTCATTGCTCAGAAATCCAGGAAGGTTGAGCTCGTCGCGTGCTTCAAACTTGAGAGCTATTTCTTCCCCGCAGCCTCCGGCAATTACTTGTGCTTCACAAACAAGTTTACAAGCAGCCGCCAGTTCAACTTGAATCTGGAAAGATCCAAAGGTGTTCATAATTATGAATGAAACGTGCTTGGCGTAGTACCTCGAAAGCTAAGCTCATAAGTTGATAGTCCGAGTGCCATGCTCGTCCTTCCCACAATCCAGGAGTCTTTGGCACAGTGAGTCCCCTTAGCTGACACTGTCCCTTGTTGACGACATAGCAAATGTCTTTGTCCCAGCTCATTGAGATTGTGCCTCCTATTGCTGTGTCGACGTTACCAGCTTCGTCCACAACATGAACGTTGAGTCCGGTAACTTCCCGTCCAATGTAAGATCTTTTTGGTTGCTGAAAGCAAATACAGTTTCGCTTCTCGAATGAAAAATGGATAGGCATATTGTGCTCACCTCAAATGCAAATTTCAAGGTTCGACTAGCGCCCTTGAAAACTATTTCGAACATTACGATGTCGTCCTCCGAAGAAAGAACGATGGAACCTGAAAACCCACAATGAAGCAGCATTTTAGCTTTGCATCAAAACAAGCACCTGTCAAGTTGTATTCCTTTGCGACTCTGAGTTCGCTCAAGCGAACAATGCCGGCTCCATCAGTTTCGACTTCTTGCTGTGAGAGGTGTACGCCAGATAGCTGGAGACGCATCCGAGTTCCCTGCCTAACGGAGTTTCCCCATTCATCGAATCCCTGCAGCATTACAATCTACATTAATATGGTGCAATGAGAAGAACAGTGCCTACCTTGAACACCATGCACGGGAAGTAACTGTCGGGATCCAGTGGTTGCTTGACGCAAAACATCGATCCAGAAGGAGCGAGCTCGAGAGAGCTATTCACAAGCTCCAGTCGTGCAAGCTTGCCAGGATAAACTGCGGAAGAAAAACAGAGCGTCATTGAGGAAGAAACAACCGAAGCTATCAAGATAACAGCTGATAACCTTGACATCTCCAGTGTCCAAGCTTCTGGTTTCCAACGTAGAAGCATAGACGAGCGTCGTGAGCCGGCAGTATGCAGCCCCGAACTATGAAGTTCTGTGGAGCAGACATTATAAGCAAACCCGAAAAGAGGTTTGAGACTTACTCCGACATTCATTTTGTCCTTCTTTTGGGAAAAGCTCACGCTCTCACGTCCAAGCGAAACTGTACTAAGCCTCGTGCTCTCCAATGTCTCGAGAACCATGCACAAATTCGGACAAGGCTGTGAGAATGGCACCAGATTGTCGTAGGTGTCAAATCCCTGAACAGTAAAGTTCTGCGTTACTAGCTCCTCCAAGCTGTAGAATTTAGAACATAGATAGTAGTTAATAGCAATAAAAGATAAGCTTACGTACGTAATCCCGGTGCATGCCTTGGTATCAACATGCCATCTGGAAACGAACTCCAAGGATTTGATATTCACCTCCCAAACTGCTGGCTTAAGGTCCGGATGCCCATCAATCGAGAACTCCACCTTGTACTTCCCAGCCTTGCAAAGATCTGGAAAGATTGTGCCCGCAGCGAAGGCATAGATTCCCTTGATACCGTTTCTGGCTTCAACCTCCGCGTAGTAGCACCCTTGCATCTTCGTCTCGTCACGATCTTTCGACGAGAAATGCACTTCCGCCTTCATCCGGTGGGGGTCTGCAACAATCGCCGCTTGCTTGCAACTCGCTCCAGTGCCTTGCTGTGGACGCACCACGACCAGAAACGAGTCGATTTGGAGCACGTATCCCGCTTCGAACGTGAGGTTACTCCGATGCAGATGTTTCCCCCCAAACACTCGCCTGTCGTCGTTGTTGAGAAGCTCTACGAATGCCGGCAGCTTTCCCTTCAGCCGATTCTCCTGTGTATGCCACTCACTTGGAGTCATGCGGTGGCACTTCTCCGAATTCAGAACGCTGCAAGGAAACCACCTGCACCTGTTGAGCTTGAAGCTGCAAATCTGTGCCGTCTCAATCTTGCTCTCTTCTTCCGTAGTCAGTAGCTCCACGGGCCTGCAAACCATCTTCACTTCCCCGTATTGTTCGTCGATTCCATCGCAGAAGAACCACTCGATGACACCGTAGAAATTTTGCTTGCCTTTGTATAGCTCTTTCTGTAGCTTCACCATATCGCCCGCTCTCCAGTCCCCACGCGGATCTTTGAGGCACTTGTGAAAACAGAGAACTGAAACAATGTAAAAGTTAGTTTGTCATACGCATGAACGAGATCAACGCAAAAAGCTTACCTTCTTTTTCGACCTTTAGAAGCCTTTTCAATTCACTTTGGCCAATGACGTATGTGGGATCGTCTCCAAATTCGACCTCCCGGTCAAATTCTTCATGCATTCTCTTCGTCCAGTTTGCAAATTCGGCAATGACCTGAGGAGGCTCCAACACCTTGCTTTGAAAGTATATCGTTGTTTTCACGTCTGGAACATTCACAAACATTTCAAGAGTGGATACAAACCATATCAAAAGCTCTTACCTGCTGGGACTGTATCCTCTTCCATGCTGCCAAGTTGCTTTAACGCAGTCGTAAAAGGATGATCCTCCACAAGTTTCGTCTTGCTTGGGGTTGGATGGAACCCTGCATCCACATCTGGAAATTCGATGTTAAGAAACCACTGCGAGGATAGAATGTGTATCTCTTGCCTGCAAACACTTTCACCCTCTTTATCCAGCGTAGCACACTCTTTTTAGAAGCTGCATCCATAAACGGCATGCTATTCTGTAGAGATCAATGTCAGAAATATGGTAACTGGTATACTAATCTGGTTTACCCATCTTGCATTCGGCAGAAGTCGTCCCAACCATCTCAGTCCCACCCTGGGAAATGTGTCGAAGTTTTCCTTGAAGTCTTTTCTGCAACTCTTTAGATCTTCAATGACGTCACTCAGCTTTTCCCTTCCCTGAAACAAAGCTCCATTAGAGTCTGAATTTTTCTGATTAAAAATGGAGTATACCTTGATGCTTGGAAAGTACTGGCATGTCAAACGTGCATGGGCTTCCTCCGAAGACGCTGAGAACAAGAGTGAGAAACGAGCGATAGAACTAGTTCGGGCTCTTACCAGAAACAAGGCGCAGATCTAGAATAAACGGTTCTCCAGGGGAAGAGTGCTGGTTGCAGCTTGTAATCTCGCCGCCAAGCTCCTCCAGCAAATTCTCTCCGTTCACCTACAATTAAAACATTCGGAATTTCTGAAGTCAATTATAATCACAGCACCTCAAACTCAACAGGAGTCATAGTTCCACTCGAGCTCCCAACACCATCGTACTGTAATAAAAAAAGGTGACAGACAATGCACTTTAGTCTCAGTCATATTAGATTTACCTGGATATACAGAGAATATATGTCTTTGAGCATTTGCTTCACTTGCTTCAAGACCCAGTACTGCCGTTGTCCTTCGATACACGCAGAAGATTTCAGGTCAGATATCTTCACCTGCAACGCAAAACCAAGTCGAGTTTAAACAGTAGTGCGAATCAATCACACACACTTACACAAGTAAAACTTCCGTGAGGTGACTTCTTAGCCTCCTCCTCAGTCATCAGATGAAAGCCTCCGCGGGTTCTCCAAATCCGACTGCCTCCTCCTGTTTCCATTGCAGCTTTGCTGAATTTGAGGCTGACCACTCGCTTCGACTTCCTCGTCTTCGAGCGAACTTCCACAGACCTGAAGATCCGAAGCCAACAACCAGTTTCCAATAAAGAAGAAATGGACGACTTACAAGCCAAGGAAGAGAGCAGCAGCGACCCCTCCAGCACCGTACTTCCCAAGATAAGGCTACAACCCAAAGTATGATCGAGAGGACCAACGAATATCACACAGATACCTTGAGAAATGGAGGATCGCCGCCAATTCCCTGTCGATGAACATTCCGGTGATTGGAAGCTCCCACGGTTCCCCTACTCGCATTCGTGTCAGCCATAGCAAGAAGTAATCAAACTACGTACCATTTCTCGATTGAATCTTGAGCCGTGGCATCCATTCCCATTCCCGTATCAAAGATTGTAATGGTATCTTGATCAATCTCCACGCTGAGGCAAAACCTAGCTCTCGTGAGTATACAAGAACAGAACGAAAGAGAGTTAAAGAACCTACCTGACGAGTCGCCTGAAACCTGGTTGATTCTCCCACACTGCTTGCAGTGCGTTGTCCTGTGAAAAAAAGAAAGAGAGAAAATCTTCCAACATGGAGAAAAGCCGTTTCATCCATACCACATGATCGGCTAGAGCTGTCTCTAGCGTGTATCCGTCCGGGAGCCTCTCTAGCATTTCAACTTCTGGTGTCACGTTCCACTGCAAAAGAAAAAACGAAACCGATGGAACAAAAGCAAGAAGCGCAACAAACAAGATTGCTTACCCAATACCGGTGAACCGTGCGCTTGTTCCCATCCTAGAGACACAAAAAACGCTGAGAGAAGGAACCCGAAAGGGAGTGGAAATGAAGAGCCACATACCTGGACAAGGATCTTCCTCCGCGCGCCCTCGGAGAAAAGCTGCTCGATATCATCGATTCTTTCGCCACTCTCATCCTCGATCCACATTTCCTTGCTCCAATCGAGCTTCCGCACCCCATCGGGACCATCTGCAGGCCGCTCCGCAAGATCGTCGAGCAAGGCATCCACATTTTCGTAGGAAGATCTCTTGATCTCCACGCCGCTCACAACCTCGCCATTTGGTAGCAGGAAATCTGCCGAAACTATATCCAGCGATACCTGATCCTTGAACTTGAGCTTCTTGCGAGCAGTGGAGTCGGGATTGAGCGACGGCCTGCGAAAGCCTCGCCTCTTGCGCGGGATCATCGCTGGCGCTTCCATTCTATCGCTGCTCTCCATCAATCAATCCTGTCGATCCATCGATCATCGCCCTAGAGCATTACGATCGCCTGACATCAAGAAATATCCTCTTCGGCTGAAAGTTATTAGGCTAGTCCCCAATCATTAATGGAACAAATCTTCGGAAATCTCCTCGGTCAAAACAAGAGCGCAGCTTATAATACTACTTGAATCCAAGATTGGACTTGAGAAGATTATTTAGACCTCATCACACAGTGTGGCAGCGCCAGATCATCGCTACTTAGTGTTGCAAGTAATTGATAAAGTCTTAAGCTCAAACCACGTGTTTGCATGAATATGGATGTGAGCAAAAAAAGAATTTTTCTTACCCACTGCCGATCACTTGCCTATGTTCGTTTGCCATGTTCGTTTGCGTGTGATGCACAAACTCTTTCACACTTAGACTATATAAGAAACTTGAAATAGAGAATGTATCATACATAATTCCAATGGCAAGCTCTAATGTGCTCCTAGCTGCTCTTGTTGCTTTAAGTCTTTGTTTTGCAGCAATCCCAGTCGCAGCAGCCACTTCCTTCAACGTTGTCAATCGCTGCGGGGGCTCGCTTAACATCATCGTCCGCGAGAACGCCGGAGGCCCCTCGATTGGAACCTCCGGATTCACTCTCTCCCCCGGCGCATCTCGCCGACTAAGTCCTCCGAATCGCTGGGCGGGAAACATCGGCACTGGAACTCCTGGCCTCCTGGCCGAGTTCTCGATCAACAGCAACAGCAACCTTGATTTCTACGACATCAGCGCCGTGGATGGCTTCTTCATCGGCACTGGGATGAGCATCACTGGATCTGGCAGGGGTCTGACTTGCCGAGCGGATGCTGGAACTTGTCCTCCCCAGAACAGGAATGGGAATACTTGCGCCAGTCCCAACAGGAACGATCCAAACTCGCAGTACGCGCGGAACGTCCGTGCCTCATGCCCGGATGCTTATAGCTGGTCTGGTGACGACACCAAGACTTTTGCTACTGGAACCGGAGGAACTTTCAGCATTACGTTCTGCCCGTCATCAATCAATCTCTTTGCAGCAAATAAATGAATTCCGGTCTTCTACTTGAGTTGTCTATAGTTATTATATCCACGGCCACCTCCACAGCGCGTCCATGTCGCACGGGGCAAGAATGTACCGCGCGTCATCCACGCGTCCCGCGCGGCCAAGTCCACGAGAATGCGGGGTTTGTTTAATTACATGGTATGATATTTTATTGTAGGAACCCTGTTACTGAGATGATGGCTATGAGGGTAGAGGTAAACCGGTGTAGAATCGATGCCGAAGGGTCCACTCAACAAGGACTTTTAGTATGCAAAAATCTGCTCTTTTAAGTACCCTTTGTTCTGGTCACAAGCTCAGAAAAACAGCTTAAACTAGTCATTTAGGACATCAGTCTCCCAAAAAGAACGTGTCGTGTTTAAACCTTGCCAATACTAATTTAAAATAGAATAAAGTAAACAATATTCTTAGCTCTAAGTTTTTACGAAGTCCAAACACAAAATAAATTCGGGAAGGAAATGCCGGGTCGCTCACACCATTGAAGATGGTAGTGTTGGACGCGCTCGGTTTTCCCATTATCATCCTCGATAAGAGTCACTTCAAGTCGGATATCTGAGATACGGTCCACAAGCTTGATTCTGTGCGATCATCATAAAACCTGCACAGGAAAATAAAATACAGCGTCGGCACACTCCCTTCGCAGGAATTATCCTGATCAGGTCGTGAGGGTCTCATCTCAGCCTACCCTTTCAGAAGAAAGACTCTTTTCAGGGCAAGCACCCCTGGTGCCAGATTTCATCAGTTTCAAGAGCTTAAGCTTGCAAACCAAATTACCAAACAAGTAGTAGCAAACAGAAAAATACTTACTGAAAAAACAGAAAGTAGCAGCCTTATCCCATGGAGAACCACACGCTCGGAAGATGATTCACTCCACTCGTAAAACCAGAGATTTTTCGAGCGAGTGATCACGCCGTGGCGGTGGTCTCGTCGTCTTCGGCCGATGCAAGCACCAGCTCTGGGAGATAGCCGGCCTTGAGAGTTCCATCGATGGCATTGGGCATGCCCAGTGACTTGAGAGCCAAGTGAGCTGCCTTCTGCCCAGAGATCATCATCGCTCCAAAAGTCGGCCCCTGGAACCGAGAAACGTTAAGACGAACAACAAAGAAAGAACAAAAACCTCTTTACCATCCTCGGTGCCCCATCGATCTCCGCGACTTCCATGCCAGTGACGATCATCCCAGGAACAACCTCGCGAGTGAGCCTCACGATCGCGTCCTCGGCAGTGTTCATGTCCAGCGCCTTCATCCCAGGGACGCTATCGATCATGCCGATGCTCTTGAGCCTCTTGACACCAGCGGCTCCAAAGGGACCATCATGTCCGCAAGAGCTCACCACCACCTTGGCCTCCATCACATTCGGATCCATGCAGCTCTGGGTGTGGTGATTCATGGAAACGAGCGCCCAATTCGTCACCACCCCGGCAACCTTGTCCTCCTTGATGATCAAATCCTCGGCCGCCACCGCGTTGAAGAGCTTCACGTTGGGCCTCGCCAAAACCTTGCTCATGATCGTGGACGTGAAGAGCGCGGCGTGCTTGACAACCACGTAGTGCTCGAGCTCGTCGTACGGCACGCCGACCTCGTCCAGGAAGAGATGGGCCGGCTTCCGTACGATCATGGCCGAGAAGAGCTGCCCGCCCAGCCAAGCGCCGCCGCCGGGGCTCACGGACTGCTCCACCACCGCCACGCTCACGTTAGGGTTCTTGCTCAGCTCGTAGGCGCAGGAGAGGCCCGCGGATCCGGCGCCAACGATCACCACGTCCGTGTCGGCGTATGTGATCATGTCGGTCATGTAGCGGCGAGTCATCTCCCGGGCCACCAGCGACTCCTTGATCGGATCGAAGGAGAATTTGTTGAGATCGTAGCGCGCGCTTGGGGAAATCGAATTCGAGCAGGAGATTGCCGCCGGAGGAGAGGAGATTACCTTGACGCGCGCGCCGGCAAGGGAGGAGCGCGACGAGGCGAGCGATTCCGCGACGCCATTGCCGGAGGAGAGGCGGGGAGACGAGAATGCTATCGAAGCAGCGGCCATGGCGTGAATGATTGAAGCAAAGCCTCTCCCACACTCGGGATTTAAACTGGGAAGAAGAAATCTCCACCGTCCACGTGTCGGAAAAAGCATCAATCTTGCATGCCATCTATTGCGCAAACAACAAAAAAAGAGAAGAAAACAAAACCACGTACGGCATGTGATATTTGCGTTCGTACAATAGAAGAAGCTGACAACCTTCTACGATTGATCCTGGTCTCTACAAAGATTTGTCAATGTTAAACTTCGAGCGAGCATAAGTTGGAGCTCCTATCTCGAGACAAATCGCAAAATCACAGACAAAGATCGGGAATTTTAGTAGATTGTGCTGGCGAGAGACTTGACCTCTTTGGAGACGTCCGTGTAATCCTCCATGAAGCCTTGCTTTTCTTCGTCCTCCAGCTTGCCTTTGACAGGATTTAACAGCACCAGCATGCAGCAAGCCGGACGCTTCTGAGCGGCGGCGCCTCCCAAATCCTGAAAAGATAGAAAAGGAATGAGTACAAAGGTAAAAAAGGATGAGAAACAAAAAAGATATGATCGTGCCTCTTTTGAAGGAACGTAGATGTAAGGAATGTCCGACTCTTCGCAGAGTATTGGCAAGTGTGTGATTACATCGATTGGTGAGATATCTCCTGCGATTACACAGAGCCTGCAAAGTAGAAAGATAGATCTGGCACTGTACGATTGCAAACTGGAAGCTCTTACCCCTTCTGTCCCCGGCGAACAGCTTTTACGACCTCCTTTACTCCCCTCCTGAGTTGCTTGTTCTGAGCCGCTGCAAAAACAAAGACCGCAAATCTTGTCACATAAGAGAGTAATACTTGTAAGAAAAGATAACCTCAGACAGCGAATAGCAGCAGCAAGGCGAGAAAAATCCCACCTTTCAGCCGGTAATTCCAGAAAAATTAAGTCATCATAGGCCTAAGGACCAAGAGCAGGAAAAAAACTTAAGAACGAAACACAGGGCCTCAGCCAGCCTAAAGTCGCAGCACCAAGGCGAAGCAAAACTTCGTCTTTCAGCCGGTAATTCCAGAAAAACGAAACATCATCGGCCAAAAGAACAAAAAAAAAAGAGAGAGAAAAAAAGTGGAGAAATAAAGCAGAAAAGCCTCAGCAGCCAAATCGCAGCATCAAGGCGAAGAGATCCTCGCCTTTAAGCCGGTAATTCCAGAATCAAAACGATCCAAACATCATCGGCTATTGCACGCATTCATTCTTCCTTCTAGATCCATACCTCTCCGGACGAGCTTGAGCGTCTTCTTACAAAGGCGCTTGCCCGCTAGTGGCCTAGCGATGATCGACACATGCTGCCGCTTCTTGCGATCCTTTTCCTTGTCCTTCTTGTTGCCCTCGCCGTCACTCACCATTGCCACATAAAACCCTAGCCCCTAAACCCTAACCCCTAAATCATGAACCCTAAACATTCTGGTCATCGCAAAGAACGACAAAGCTATCAAACCGTCAACTTTTCTTATAGTTTTTTGTTCAGTGGTGTTGGAACGTTAGGTCTCAGTGGTTGAAGCGTCCAAAGTATCTCTCTCCTTTTTTTTCTTTCTTTTGACGCATGGTCTTAAATGTCCTGTGCGTGCTTTTGATAACGACCAAGTTTGAAATGTATGACACTCTTCCATGTTCCTTGTCCTGCAAAGTTTCACGTAGCTCCACACCGAAACACGAAATCTCCAACTTAACCTTTTGCGGCCAAGATCAAGAGCACTGAACGAAAACAAGTTCTCCCAGCCCAATGCGTGAATCAAAAGCCAACAGCCAGCGAAAAATGCGTGAGTTTTGGCCCCATGATTTTATTTCAGTCACATCCTTCTCATGAGACTGGCCTCCTGTTTGATCGATGCCAACAAAAGCTTGTGCTAGTGGATTCAACACGGAACATTCCACGGATCCTTCATGACAAAGTCAACGTTTGGATCACGCTTCTAATCGCGTGTAACCCTCCAAAAGGCCCCCATGCTCCAGCGTTGAAGAAATCGGGATCGATCGTTCGTAGCTTTATTCGATTCAATCACGGAAGTTGAATCCAAACACATGTTGCTAAGAGCCACTGGCCAGCATCTGATCCTACGCAAAATAGAAAATCACTATCCAATTTCTTCTAGACTTCCAAATGTAGGGGAAGAAAGGTTGCAGGCGCAAAGATATGTTGACCCGGAAAATACTGAATGGTAAAATCTAGGATCATATTTTAGGGTTTATGCGAAACTTCTAAAGTTCCGACGCGAGCTCCCTATGCCCCTAGAAAGCCACAGGACTTGTCGCGATGCCCTTGTCCCAAGATAAACACCAAGCGAGCACGTTTGAATTTCCCGCCATTTTAAACTAAGGAGTTGAATAATCGGGGGTCTTCGTTTGCCCCAGAGCTTCGTAGTGTTATTTATTCTCGCATTGTCTCGCCGTTCGTCGTGTTCTTCGTCGCGTCGCCGCCGTCGTGATTCGCGGGACCGCCCTCGTTTGCTGTCGGCCCGGTAAGATGATCGATTGGCGTGGTTTGACGCAGATTTTGATGTTCCTTTCGGTTAGGTCTGCTCGTTCTATCGATCGAGGTGCTCTAATCGATCGATCGTGAGTGGCGTGTATGCCGCTACTCCATCAGCCGCAAAGATCCCGTGGAAATCGTCTTCGTTCCCAAATTTCCGCGCACAGGTGTCGCGTTTCTACAATTCCGTTGTGGGACTGACCGTGGGACTCTCTTAAAACAGAGAAAAGGAGGGAGGGAGGGACTGACCTCTCGCAACAACCACTGCTGTGAAAATATCCTTTGTGTCCGGGAGCGCTTTAAAGCACTGGGCAGGAAGAGCGCTTTGGATGGATGGCTGCTGGCTGGGCCGAGGATTTGAGGCGAACTTTTAAGCTCCGAATTTATCGGGCTCTCTCTCTCTCTCTCTCCTTTTCTTTTTCTTTCTGGTCCATCTCGAAACACCACTGCCTAATCGCGTGAAGTGCTCCAGAGCTTTCAGAGGTGGAGGAGAGGAGCTGTAGCAGCTGGTCTGAGAGGGACGCGCGGTTTATTACTGTGAAGGTATAGCTCCTCTCCTGGCAGATTGTTCTTGTTTGTTTTTTGTTTTCCGAAAAAAAAAAAAACCTCATGCGTGTCCGTTTTAAATGCAGTTCGGTGGAGATTGTCACACTGGCATGTGTTGGGCGAATTCTCTAAAGGCTTCGCAAACTTACGGAAACGGCAAAAGAGGTCAAGATCTCTCAACTTACGAGTGCTCGCTAGAAAGGTTGCGCTGCTGCTTTTGTTTTGTTCGTCCTTGGCCTTTTCTTTCTTCTTCGAGGTTTGCTTGCATCTATCGAGTCGAGCTGTGAGATAGACCTTGCGCTCGCTCAGTGCGCATTGCGCAACGTACTGACGAGGCCTTTTCCCTGAGCCTCTTTTTCCTTTCGAAAGTGAAACTCTGAATCTTTGGTGGCGTCATGGCTTTAGTGGCAGTGGTCCATTCTAGCTGGCTACGTTCCTCGTAGGACTTGCTCGGTTTTCTTTGAAAAAAATGCGAGGCGGCATAACCGGTCTCTGGGGCTAAACTGTTGTGTTTTTCCAGGCCTGAAAGCTTGAAGTGACGATGACGATGATCGTGCGGGAGATGATTCTGCTGGATCAAGCGTGCTTCGAGCCGGATGATCCCCACAGCTTCAACGATGATTCAGGATGGTTGGGACCTCCCAGTGCTGTTCCATTCGCCTGGGAGCTGGCTCCTGGAACTCCGAAGCAGGAGAGAAAATCAGCTCCTGAAGTGTCGGATTCAACAAGGGAGGCTTTCTCTGGAGAAGTTTGCAAGGCAATTGTCAAGGTTGAATCTGAAGGGGAGGACTCTGGCCCGTGGTACGACGAGCCGGACAGGCACTCAGTTCACATCTTAGAAAATGCCCCTCGCTCCTTCCTGGAGTGCCGGAACAGCGAAGTCTCAGGCGAGCCAGCGGATCATTTCAAGGGACGGACAGTCGCGTTCAAGTGGGAGATGGAGCCTGGCATACCGAGAGATCCATTGACGTGTCGGGAAGTTCTCGACTGCCCGCTTACGCCTCCGCCAGTGTTCCACTCCCGGAGCATGGTCGTGTACTCTAGCAGGAGCAGCAAGAAGACATTTTCTCTGTCCGAGAGATTGAGAAGCTTGCTGTGGATACAGCCGCACAGGAAGCAGCCCGACTTTCAAACGCGCCTGAATCCTCCAGGAAGGGCTTCCTCGAAGACCACAAAGGCGACGCTTCTGCTCAAGAATTCACCGCACAACGGCTCAAGCAATTCGCTGTCGAAGAAGAACGGTGCTGCTCATTCGGACGAGGAGGAGGACCTCTCACCAGTAAGTGTTTTGGATTACAACAGCTCCATGAGGTCCAGCAGCCACCCTGCGGATAACAGCAGCAACAGTAACAGGCTTTCGTCGGCGTCGTCCTCGAGACGCTCGCACTATCACACGCCGCAGCACTCTTTCTCCGGGGATGTCAACGCAGCAAACGTATCGTCGACAGGCAGCTTCACATCGTTCATCGGATCTAGCAAGCGAAGCAGTCTCTCCGCTCTTCTCATCCGGAGGAACAAGAACAGGGAGCCGACGGGCTGCTTGACGATGCTCCGCTCGAATTCATTCGCCACTACAAACGACTCGTTTGAAGAGGCAGTGAGCGAGGTCAACAGCAGTGACAGATCCTCGTCTCTCAGCAGCGACGAGAATCACAAGAAGCCAGGCACCAACAAAGACTGTGGCGAGAGCTCCGACGAAGACGCTCGATCGGTTTACTTCTCGCCGGCTCCAAACATCGAGAGTCCGAGGAAGTCATTCTCGTTCCAGAGCAGAGCCATGGACGACGAACGGGACGCCGCCAAGTTCAAGATCATTGACCGAGTCGACTCTCTGGAGACGATCGATCCGGGCTTTGCTCCATCGGAGCTTGGCGACGTTAGCTACCAGCGCAACATTCTCAACAGGATGACGAGCTGTGCTCGCTGGCAAAGGAAGCAGGCATCGATCAAGCAGACCAGGAGTGGCAGCCATCTCGTAAGTTCTTTCACTTCATTTTTTTATCAAGATCTCTGCTAACACTGAGTGTACCAAAAACAAAATCTCTGTTCCAGGCCAGGAGCTTGTTTGGGCGAGTGACAGTGTGCTGCTACGTCCCGCGTGAAGATCAATGCTGATGGCATTCATGGTCGACTTATTAGAACTCAACAAAAGCCAGCCAGTTCGTGATAGGAACAAGTGCTGCGTGTAAAAACAAAATGAAAATACAAAAAATTCTCATTGCGGCGTGCTTTAAGCTTGCTGAATGTACTAAGATTTTCAACGGTAAATAGTTTGGGTGAACAAAGTTTGGCAAGAACATATCTTGCAGAGAGATTTTAAGAACTTTGGTAGTTGCTTAGTGTTGGCAAGAAAGTATCTTGAAGAGGAACTTTGGTAGTTAGTTTAGAGGTTGGTAAGAAAATATCTTGAAGAGCATGGCTCGTGGACGAAGTTAAAGTTTAGTGATTTAAAGAAAGTATCAAGAAGAGCATGGACGACGATCAAGAGATTTTAAACTTTATGGTTGTCTCCAGCACGGCCTAGACAAACTTCTCGATCTTTTGACAGTTCTCGAAGATCCAACCTTTACGCCAGCGTAACGTCAAAACAAATTGTAATTCGAATAGCTCAGAGATTGAATCGCCGCCCGAGGGGCTCGAACCCTCGGCCACAAGGTTAAGAGCCTTGCGCTCTGCCGACTGAGCTAGGGCGGCATTAGCGGGAAAGAGAGTCGTTTAATTCAAACTCGATATTTAAACACACTTTTCTGTTGCTGTATTTAGCGGTCATTTATAAAGAAACCACTGCTTCGTTCCTCTTTTCCCCTTCCTTGCTCGAGCATTTCGTGTTTGTGACGCCCTCTCCACCATGAGCAAGGACTTGGAGAATGGCAATGCCGCCAAGGATTTCTCTGAGCCGCCGCCGACGCCTCTCATCGATCTTGCGGAGCTCAAGTCGTGGTCGCTCTACCGGGCTTGCATCGTCGAGCTCGTTGCCACGCTCTTGTTCCTCTACATTGGCGTCACTGCGCTTATCGGGCACGCCAGGGCGCAGGCGGCCGCGGGCGGGGATTCTTGCGGCGGGATTGGGCTGCTGGGCGTCGCGTGGGTGTTCGGCGGCATGATCTTCGTCCTCGTCTACTGCACGGCCGGCGTCTCTGGTATGCATCGATTCATCCATCGCTTTCTTTCTCCGATTGCCCGGATTGTTTTGCCGCTTCTTTCACGTTTCTTGATTTTCAAAATAGTTCGTGCCGCCATTGGCGATTTCTTTACTCTGTTCTTCCCCAATTCTTCTCCGCGATCCAGCTTCCTCCCAAGAACAAGAAATCCCTGGGATCCATATCCGAGAGAGAGAGAGAGAGAGAGATCTCACAGATTTCTTCTGGCTGTGTAGGTGGTCATCTAAATCCTGCCGTTACATTTGGCATGTTCTTGGCCCGGAAGGTTTCGATTCCCCGTGCGCTGCTCTACGTTGCGTCCCAGGTCGCGGGCGCGATCTTTGGGGCGGGGCTGGCCAAAGGCTTCCAGGCCAGCTTCTACAATGGCAACATGGGTGGCGCCACTTTCATCCAGAATGGCTACACCAAAGCCGAGGGACTGGGCGCTGAGATCATCGGGACTTTTGTGCTCGCTTACACTGTCTTCTCCGCCACTGATCCCAAACGAGTTGCTCGTGACTCTCACGTTCCGGTAAGTGTTTCTCACGCCTCTTTTCCACCTTTTTCCTCTTTCATCCTGAATAGTCATTCATTCTTAGTCCCTTTTTCTTGCTCTTTTTCTCCTGTGCTTCTGGATTCATGCCGAGCGCCAAAAAGAGAGGAAAAGAAACAAGGACCGACTCAGGTTGATCGTGACTCCCTGCTTGACTTACAGGGAACTTGACTGACTCAGACTTAGCAGCCGCGGGTTGCAGTGGAACTAATCAGTTCTAGTTTTGATTTTCAGGTCCTCGCTCCGCTCCCGATCGGATTCGCCGTGTTCATGGTTCACCTGGCTCTGCTGCCCGTGACTGGCTCGAGTGTGAATCCGGCTCGCAGCTTTGCAACGGCTGTCATCTACAATAACAGCAGAGTTTGGAACGATCAGGTAAGTTGTTCTTCCGCATTTAATTCGCAGCCGAAAGAAAGAAAAAATTCGTTTGTTTGGATCGCCAGTGGGTTTACTGGGTTGGACCGCTTCTTGGAGCTGCGCTCGCCGCAATGTATCATCAATACATTCTTCGCGG